AAAGCAGCAGTTTGCAGATGCAGAGGTAAAAAGCTTGGGAGGTTTTAACTTCCAYAGGTTTCCCGAACAGCCTATGGAGTGTGTCATGATTCCTCTTTCCCCACCAAGCAAGCAAACACCCACTACTTCGAGCTTTTCACATCACTRTGCACAGCACCAAACGAAAACCTGTGTGTTTAAGCAAATTCTTTGCTATCTTCTAAAGGCAATTTGGAAATACCTTACTTAGGAGTGACTTTCTCTGAAGAAAACAGACTGAGAGCAACACACCGACATCCACAGGCAGAGCTACATCCGTGTAGTCACGACTGCCTTAAATAAAGTTCAGTCTAACATTACGCTTTCTGTTCCCTCCAGAAACAGCTAATGAATTTCCTGCATCGGGGATTAGCCTTGGTTGTGGTATTTTCATTTATCTAATATTCAGCTCTAATTCATTTTCATCCATGATAATATTAATAGATGTAATTATCTTCAACCACAAATGGAGTATTTACTTGTCAGTGTACTTCAGCCCCTTTAAACTACTACATGGGAAATCTGACAGTAATCTGGCATTTCAACACTTTTAATATTATAAGCCTGGGATTCACAGTAGGCAGRAAAAGAATCTTTAAGGTTGGAAAAAGACCTTCGAGTCCAATCATTAACTCTGCACTGAGTGCTCACCCCTAAACCATATCCCCAAGTGCTACATCCACACWCCTTCCAAACTTCCAGGGATGGTGGTGACTCCATCACTTCCCAGGACACTTTCCTGATTCCCCTCTCAGTGTGGAAATTCTTCCCAGTATCCAACCTAAACTTCCCTGGCACAACTTGTGGCCTTTTCCCTCATCCTGTCACTTGTTATCGGGAGACAGAAGCAGAACATAACCACTTGAAACCACATCCTTCTAAATTTCCAACTAAATATTCAAGCTTGTGGTTTTATTGAAAACCTTTTTATAATAATATGAAAAGCCCTTCTGTCAAAGTCTGTTTACAGAAAAAAACTGAGAAGAGTTTTTAAGTTCAACCAAGTTACACATTTTTGTTGGAGTGTAAAATTGAAAAGGCATGTACTTACCACAAACAACTGATAAAAAAATTGAAAAACAATGATTCAAAGTATAAATACGCCTTTCATTAATCAGTGAAAATCTTTTCCAACATTAAGCAAAKAAGGTCTATAAAAGCCATGTCTTAATCTCATCTGCTTGTTATGTTACAAGAAAATACAGCACTTACCAGTACAAAATAGTAAGCATACAGAGCTGCCAAGTGATGTATTACAAAAAATTTGTCACCAATTGCCTTCCAGTAGTAAATAATAAGCAACAGATCTACAAGAGAACAGAAACAACTATAAAGAACTATTTATTATACAACTATTGACCTCAGTATAGCTTCTCTAAGTTTTAGAGACATACAAAGATACAGCACCAGTAGAAACCCTCTGAATTAATGATCTCTGAAGAGAATGTCTTTATCCTAAAGATTTTACTTCAGCAAAAGCACTAAGCAACAGTATTCTCCCAACAATTTCCATAAAATATTACTTTCCACATCAATGGAAATACACACACAATAGCTTTAGCCAAAATATATTGGAAGGAAAAGGTGGACCCTGAATCTCATAGTGACTTCACACTTATGACCCCAAAAATCTGGAACAAATGACATTAAATTTAAAAAAGGCAGGAGGTTCTCCAGGAGGCATGGCAAATATACAAATACATGCAATAAATGCAGGGATCTGAATCAAAATTAGTTATATTAGCAAATAGGGAAACATTTACCAAAAATATTTTCCAAGAGGCATTTGTAATAAGAAACATAGTTGCTTTATTAAATCCCAGTTTTCCAATTACTGCAAAAATGACATAGCAGACCTGAGTCAGTGTTACAAGGAAAGCTTTAACAGAAAAAAAAATTAAAAACAAAACAAGAAATATTTTTCTCCCATGATGGTGTGAGAATTTGGAAGATTTTCTTTTCTGTACTGGAACGGGCAATTTCTGCCCCTACTTTCTGCAAATGAGCACTTTGGACTGGAATATTATTGACCAAAGTTCCAAATCAAAGACTTTACCCCTGTGCATTTCTTATGGCCAGCATGTGCCTTGATCTCTTTTATATTAGCTGTCCTCAGGCAGGGCTCTACATTATCTGACATTGGTGTTCCACTTCTTATTAATAATTAAACATCAACTATATAGGGAAGTGAGAGAGAATGAGTGGCCAGGTTGAGATGCCTGTTCAAAGGCACTCATTAATTCATAATGAAAGTTTAATGCACAATTATTCAAAAATAGATACAGATTAATTTAAACATGGCAGAYGAAGCTACGGAAAAACCAGACACTTAAACTAATGCAGAGTTTAACTGAGCATGCTGATCACCAGATTATTAGTTCCACTGGGTTGAGAAATGTAGTATGAGATAACCAACTCCATGGCCCAGCCTCTAACCAGAGACTTCATCCTAACATGAGACATTTTTACTGAAAATAGTCCAAGTCATAACAAGTTTTTGCTTTGATAAGGCAGTGTAATTCCCACACAACAGGAAAGAAAGCTCCAAAGCATTTTGTAGCAAAATTCCCATGCCAACTTCAGTTAGCAAAATTAAGAMTATAAAACATACGTAGGAATAAATAACATACCAAGAAAATAATTTAAAATTTCTGTGTTTTATACATGACTGAATTTTGGCTTAAAATAAGACTAAAAGATGGGCAGGAATGATCCTATGGCATCATTTGCCTCAGCTTATATGGAGGGTTACTAAAATTCTTCTGCCAGCATTCTGAGGTCACAGGAAGAAACACATGATAGAATAGCTACAAGGTGCAGGCACCACGAAGAGAGYGAAGGGCACTGCTCCAACACCTTCACAACTGGCCAAAGGACAAAAGTGAGCTGGAGCTGGTGGCTGCACATCAAACCATCACAAAGCCACACAGGGGCATCTCTCTGTGCTTGGGGAGATATTCCATCTTTCACACCCGCTAGCAAGATCCTGTGATTTCACCACAACCCATAAATCCATTAGCAACTTTAAAAGCCACAGTACAACTGTATTGCATGCACATATCACATCTTCACCACAGTGGCTCCGTATAAACACACAGCTATAATGACTCAATGCAAATAAACAGGGTGTGCATGTTATATACACGTTGCATAATTACCAGAAATGAGGTAGCCTGTGGTAATAGCAACATTCAGCTTCACAGTTGAAGGGTCACCCCTGTAAAAATACCAAAAATACACAGTTACAGCCTGATTTGCAAAGGACATACACATCTCCAACACAATATCCATCAGGACACATTATTCTTGGCTCAACAGTAAGATATTGCACAATCTGGTTAAGAACGGTTCTAATAACCAAAGTGGATTCCTTTCCCACCCAGATATAAGACATTTCCTAACCACCCTAATCAGGATCAACCCCTGCCTTGGCACAGAGGCTGCTCCAAGAGCCTTGCTAGAGATTTGAACTGAAACCCAGCAAGTACTCTGAGTTGGCTTCTCAGGAAACTRAGCATAAAAGAGAAGAGCCCAGTCAGTGTCTCTTGGCCCTTTAACTGAAACTCAACATCTCCATTTTTTTCTGACAGTGCTAAAACTTTGGTAAGGATGACAAAAATATCTTGCTCAGCTGCTGCTTTTCATATTCATAATCAGATGGATGTTTACTGGGATAAACAGAGTAGAAGGACACAGGAARGGAATTATTTGCCACTTCTTTGGAGCCAAAGAACATTTGAGCAGAAATGCTTTTCAGAGTAGTTTCCACACCTTCYATCCCTTCCCTTTTGGGGCCAAACATTCAGCAGGCAAAGCTCCTAGTAACACACACACAAGTTCAGTTCCTCTAAAATGTTCAACAAACCCAAACCTGTGAACACAGCTCAAGAACGGGAAGCATCCACATTACAGCAAGCAATGTTTGTTCCTTCCTCCACTGTCCTCTGTGCATTCCTACTTGAGGAGGTTGGTAAGCAAGTCTTCTTTCCTTGGTGCAACGATTATAACTTAATTTTTTAATTAAGTTGKGCAACTAATCTAGCTGTATTTTGTGTAAATATGAATTGAGCTTCAAGTAACAGATCAACAGTTTCATAAAATGTGGACTGCTCAACACAAACTGTTAAAGCAACCCTTGCTGTAAACCTTTTGAGAAAAAAGGAACCTAACTGTGCTTACAGCCAACTCCAATACAAAGTCTACCTCAGCTAGAACAGAGGAAAATGCTATTACTTAACTTTTTTTTTCTTAATCTTATTGGAATGGAGCAGTGGAAGGGATTTCCTGTATTATTACAATCTGATCACTAAATTTTAAAGCTTTCTTATTGTCTAAAACKAACTGTTTCCCTCAGTAAGAGGGTAGTTTACAGGAAAACAGGAGACACAAAACCAGAATTCTGCTGTTAGGTGAAGAAAAATCATTACCAGGAGAGTCGGAGCTCACTCCATTTCTTAGGATTGGCCATAGAGACTCTTAACTACAGCTTGAAATGGAATATTTTTCCATGGCTTCACAACCTTCATGAGCTACATAGGTTGTGGGCTGAGTGCTTTTTTAGGTTTAGACATGGAGCATAGACTGATGTGTTCTCACAGCTTTGGCAGAAAATCCTCACACAGAGCCCTCAGGTCAGAGCTCCCAGCAGCAGCAGYGTCACTGAACTTCTCAGTGGTCCCAACACACTTGAGCACATCACCACCACCACCAAGACTAAGCCTGCACTCAAGAGCCTTCACATTCTCTAGAGAAGATGTAAAGCATTGAGAGCAATATGAAAATAGTTCCTTGATAATTGCAGACATGACTTAACWGCATGAGACAGAGAATGGTTCCCTTCCCTTCCTTTTTTCCTCAGAGAATGTCACTTTGCAGCAAACCTTCTCTAAGCTTTCTAAACCAACACTTCAACAACATAGAAGGCTGCATTGTCCATCTGTCACATCCCTTCAAGAACAGTCCATGTTAGAATCCCAAATTAATCTCAATAAATGGAAAACTTAGAATTTAGTCTCAAATCTTCCAGATTTCCTGATCTATCTCCTTGAGTGGAAGGTGCAACGTAGTTAATGAGACCTGATATTTGCAGCCCAGTTTTGATGCAAGCAAGAGCTCASAGTGACAAACAGGGAGTGACTTGAATAAGCAAATGGGAAGAGCTGTCTCTTTGGGATTGCTGAGGAGGTATGTGTGGCAAAYGAATTACAAATGAGCATGCACAGGCAGACAGAACAAACATCCCCATTACTGACTTTCTTCAAATTTCGTTGCAGATACAGAATCCTATAAAATGCTAATCAAACTTGAAAAACCGTAATATGTGTGAACAATCAGAGAAAAGAGCCTGTTCTCCTACGAAGCTACAATTTAATCCACTTATTTACATCTTCTCCCTCTCCTTATCTGATCTCTACCACCTCCACATTTTCTATTGTGTGATTCTCACCACCACAAAAACAATTTCTACATCATCTATTTTAGCTGGTCTCTAGTACACAGATAAAAAGAGGGAATGTTTTATGAGAAGTCCTAGACTGTCAAAAAATGTATCCATACAGAAYGCTTCCCTGGACCTTACCAATGCTCCAGTCTTTGTTACCACCTATTGTATCTGTTTTCAGGCTTTACCTGGCAGTAATATCACATTCTCTCTCCACTGAACCCAAACCCTTTGCAGGGTTCAATGAAAAACTTTCACTCAGACACTATCCAGATCTGCTACAGCTTTTCAATTTCACTTTAAAATGATTACTKTAAATAACAGAGTTTCAGTCATACTGACTTACAGTTTCAGTTTACTCATTAGTAATTCAATATTCTATTTCAATCAATTGCTTTTGTTTTATCTATTCCACTTCACAGAGACACACTGAACTAAGACATGAATACTGACAAAATAATTACCGAATTTTCCAATAGTACAAACATAAAAATGAACACATCACAATTGCATATTTTAAGGGAAAATGAACAATCATTCAGTACTTAATAAACTGCAGGATTATTTTTTTTCTTCTCAATTATGCTATTTTATTGTGTAAACACAACATATATGTAACATGCCTTACCAGATAGGGTCAGCATTAACAGCATCATCGTACAATAAAATATATARGCAAAACCCTCCAACCACCAAGGCGTGGAATGTGGACACTGTCCTGAAAAAGAGATCACAGTCACAAGGAGGTACAGCCATTCACAACTTCCCTTACTGTGCTTAAGGTAGGATGTTTCCAAAGGTTTCTCAACTGCATCCGGATACTTCTGTGGAAGACAGTCATCTGTTCTCTGTGCTACATCCAAACACTTACACAATGACAGGTGGGAAAAAAACAGTCAAAATGAAGGAATCTATTAGATTGAGGTGGGATTGGTGACAGTAGTTTCAAGGAGGAGTGTTAAAAGAAACTAGGATCTAAATTTTCTCCAATTATCCCATTTATTAATGAATCCTTAAAGAAAGTAAGACATCAAGTTCTCTAACAAATGTTTTCTGCATTGTCCCCTTTGCTGGAATATTTGTATGCATTTCATATTCAGATCAACTCAGGAGTCCTGCAACTGCAGGTTCCTCCTTTGAGGCACCAAATTAAAAGACCCATAATAAGTCTGCCGAGTTTAGGTTTGGAAAGTGGCATTAAATGAAAAATCCTAAGCTTCAGATAGAATTTCTAGTGCATTTTAAGTAGATTCTGGTTTTCAAAGAGAAAACTTGTATAATAAAAGTTTGTAGCTGAGTACCCGAGATATAATACCCCCAGGTTTACATCAACTAGCAGCCTATAGCTTTGTATGAGACAAAGAGAAATAGGAAATAAATATCACAGTAATCACAGTTGCCTTCCCCCTATTTGGGTATAGACACTTTTCCCCAAAGGCAAGAGGCTCCAGTACACAAGCTGCAAGCCCAGTGTAGATAAACTCTGCATGTTAAGAAGCATTAGTTATAGAGAAATATCCATTTCCAGAGGCCCCAGCAGGGTTTCTGCCGGCACACAGGCCAGGGCCACTCCTGCCCTTTTGAGTCCACATGTGTTCTTGGAAGGTAGAACAATGCAATGGGCACAAGTCCAAAAGGAGTAACCTTCCCCCTCTAGCAATGAGTTTAACACTGCTCGAAGCTGCATCTCAGACTGTGGAGCCACTGTCTGCTTTCCCACTGTTCAAGTGCAACTAAAAGGAAAAAAATTACGTAAAGAAACATCCATACTGAATCACGGATACTGTTTGAAGATGAGAATTAAGTTCAGTGCTGTGTGATTGGAAACACTTCACACCATATTCACAGCATCAACAATATGCACACAAATGTGCAGATGCTGTTAGTTATTATTCTTGTCTTTGTACACATTGAATATATGTATTTGGAAGTCATTAATATTTCAGATATCCTTAAGGCACTCTCAGGAGTCTAAGCTCTACCACGCAAGATTTGAAGAAAACATCTTTCTTCCTGCAGAAGACTTTGCAAAGAAAAGAGAAGGTTATAATTCTTACTCTATTTCCAGAAGTTAGATTATTTTCTATTCACAATAGAAGATTCTGTAACTTTTCATAAAAGAGACTGTATTTACAATTTGTTTCAAGACTGTCATCATGCTATTTGCAGCAGCCTTTTCAACAGTGTTCCAGAAAATGAATGGAGATTAGCATAATATGAGTAGTCAAAAGCTGGATAAGAACAATTAATAACCATTGTAACRCAGGCTGCACTTCTGCCCTCTCTTCTTTTAACAAAGAAAGAAAATTTAATTATCAGAAATCTAATGCTAATTAATAGTTTAATTAAAAGGTCTACTTTTGCAACACAGAATTTAAAAAGATAGGAACTTTCCTTTCTTTTTAAAAACAAGGAACAGCAAGCAATATTAGTGTCTGAGAAATACCTGGAATTTTTGAACTTGAGGAGAGGATAATGCTGCAAGAAGGAAAATTTRTCCTAGAATACAGCTCATTAGTTTACAGTTGCAATTTGTCTTTGATGAGGCTGTTTATCTGAACCTTAGTGTGAACCTTTGGAATACGAGCTATACACAAGTAAAGCACTTGAAGGGGGAGAAATAAAAGAAGAGAAAAAAAAAAAAAGAAAAAGCAGTAGATTTCCTCTTTTAACTCTGGACTTTGAAGCTTCTCCATAGAAGACGGGGCAGAAGAAGGGAAAATAGTACAACAGTCCATTTTAATATGGAATCTAGGTCAAGCTATCAAGCTCTGTACATTTCCTTGAAATTTTTGTCAAAGCTTGCATCCTTTAAGCTACAAACAAAGAAAAATGTACTGCTAAGTTGCAGATTTGTTCCTTTATTATTGAAGGTATATATTTTTTCACAACTACTTAATAGCGAGTATGATAGGAGAGGTGACAGGAATATGCACAACTTGAAGAGTTATACTACATCTGTGACAAAATACAGTTTTCAACTCATTTTGAGTGTCTGCATACTTCAGATGCCAGAAGCAATTACTTTATTGGTTCATAATTCTTGGAAGGTCAGAATGAATAAACTGACAGCATGGAAAATACAGTCAAGARCTGCAGCTCAAACGCTTGATTACAAAACCCTCCAAACTGTAACAATATATTTCCAAAGCTACAGCTCATTGCAGGCAGATGCCCTCTTCCAGACCCAGCTGAGCTGATAAAAATGCATAACCATCCTCTGTGCCAGTTTCCTTAGCACTGCCAACAGAATCGTTTGTGTGTGCACTCCCTACACCAGTTCAATATAGGACAAAACAACCATCTACTTTTAAATAATTTAAGCTAAACCAACTGATTTTACTGGGACATAGTAACTCTCTACCTGCACAGCTGCCTGCAGAATAAATACATAACCATCTGCATTCTCTGATTTTGCAAGATACCCCTTGAGGTATCTCTTCACTTTGGTGAAATACTGGAGTGACAGGGCAGTTTGACAAAACACTGTGTTTGGTTAGCAGAGCTGAAGTAACACAAGCACAGTCAGTCTTTCTCTTCATGCCCTCCCCAGTTACAACATCCACAAGATGCTGATGAGCCATGCTTTCTGTTTCATGCCTTCTGACTCCAGAACTGGATACAGGCTGGGTGCTAACATCTATACCCTGCTATGAACCCCAAAGAAAAAAAAAATGCACAGAGGTAAAAAAGGACATAGCCTGGGGTACTGTATCACTTGAGCAGTTAAACACCTTACTACAAAGTAGCCCAGAGATTACGGAGCTTATTTCCAGCACACTTGTGATGTGTGGAACAATTCATATGTTATTATTCAAAGCACTACACCAGCACAGTGCTACCAGCCATGGGGTATGTTCTCAAAAAGCCTGTTATGCAATTCAAGGGCCATTTGACGTGGCTTATAGACAATAGCTCAGCTTCAAATGGAAACAGTTTCATTTACTTTCCCTGCCTGCCTCTATTGTTAATTGTAACACAGAGATAAACCTAAGCTGCACTGATACTGTGAGCTGGCATCCTCCACAGCTCTGGCAGATCGGTAATTATTCAGAGATGGAACTCAAATCAAGATCGTGACATTAAGAACCCTGAAAGTGGACATTTGCCAAATAGAAGGCCACGGCTATTTGAGTTGCTAATGCTACCTAGAACAATGGAAACAACTTTAAAAGCATCCACCTGATACTAAACAGCACTGAGGAGGAACAGAAATGCAACTTATGCATTTTGAATGCAGTGACAACCATACCATCTTTGAGCTTTAAATTTGGGAAATGTCTGAAAAAAGTTGTAATAGGCTAATCAAAGTTATACTGTAACAATTCATTTCACCTGGAAAACTTTGTGCACTATATATACCCTTTCAGAGTAGTATGTTGCAAATAAAATCCCATTAATCACCCCATTTGCAATTGCTACCTTATACTTCCTTTATGGCTTAAAAGAGTCACCGGGTCAGACAAGTTTCTAAAAGTCCTGTATCTGAAGAGACAAGTGTAATGCAGGTGGATCCATCCTGATCCACTGATGGAAGTGCAGAAACACAAAGGGAGTGAGAAGATTTTTGGACTGAGTTTCCACAACTCCTTCCTGAATGTGCACCCTGTGTTTGCTGTAGCTTCCCCCTCCTCTTGCAGTCTCCTTCCCCAACAAGACACAGATGTACCTGACTCTTCAATGCACCAAAGCTTAATTAAATTCCTTGGAAAACCTTAACTTACATAAAACAGTTTGTGGTGTRGTAGCACCAGGAGAACTGGTGCACCAGAGAGCAAACTGCTTTGCTCCCCAAAGCATGACCAGAGATACACTKGGATTTAGAATAAATTGCAATAGTTTTGATTTTCATATATGTTTGGAAAGTAATTTTATATCTCTTCTCTTTACTAGAAGCATCACACAGCATCCCTTCAGCTTGTCTCTTACCAGTCACTGTTTTCTTTTTTTACTGACCTTCACTTGGACATCACTGTCTGAGAGAGGCATTTCATTCATGAAGGGCTCTCAACATTTCACATGCATAATTTGTTCAGTGCCTACAGCCAGCCCTCTGATCTTTACAGACATTTAATGGGGTTTTCTTCAGTCTTACACATACACACACAGGTGGCCCCAGTGTTCATAATTTCAGGTAGGTCATTAGCTRTTGTTGTTTTGAACACCCTACCTTGAATTCCATTCGATCTTCCTTTTTTGGCTGAGATTGTTAAAMCCAGGTGTTAATCGTGTTGACACCCAAGAACTTACAACGTGGAAGAGGAGCTGAAATACAGTAAAACTGGCAACAGCAACRCCAATAGTCAGGTTGCTGAAGGAAGCCATTGTTCTTCAGCCTGTGAAGAGAAGCAGAAAGTAATTTCACTACATTCTCCATTTTACTATTTTAAGCAGACACAGAAARTGTTTATGACAGCAAATTTATCAACAGAAACATTATTCACTAAAAGTTTCAACCTGTTCAATGTTTCTACTTAAACCATAACAGTATAAAAGTATGGCCAAACTTTTAGATATAAAAGTTGAATTTTGGTTTTAGGTTTTTTTTCACATTTGCATATTATACATTTTTATGGCCTAAAATGGCATGTATTTTATCTACATAGAAAGGACAGTGAAGACCAGTGACCAGGGCAACTGCCAGCTCCGAAGCCTCCACTCCTGACCCAAGAAAATCCAAAGTTAAAACTTGTCTCATAATTACCAGAGYGACTGCCACCACAGAATTTTAAAATGAAACAATGAATCAGATAAGCATAGAGGAGGTTTTTGGGTCAGCCCAGAGGAGCAATAGCCTCACTGCAGCTCTGTTTGCAGACTCAATTCACACCCTGTTCACAGCTGAGAGCCCATCCTTGTGACAGTCTGTGGCTTTTTCCTTCACCAAAGTCTAACCTCCGCACAATTTCACACCCGCTGAAAAGCTTCCTATCATCAGAGCTGACTGGCTTTTCAGTTGCTGGATGTTTAGCTACTTCATGAGGTCTAAGTACCAAAACAATTCCAAACACAAGTGTCAGTCTCTAAATGCTTCAGTCATTTCTCCTGAGTCACCAGTATTTTCAAAACACAATGGTATTTTCCCAGAAGCCACAAACTTCTGACATACGTCTACAATTTGACAGTGAAGTGGTTTATACTCCAAGTCTGGCAAAAGTTGCAAACTCRAAAAATGTCAATTTATATTAAGTTGAACAGAAGAGAGAAAAAAGCCAAACAGCTTCATTTCAAATAATTAAATAATTATTTCAATATCTGTGAAAAAACCTGCTGTCACTTATTTCAATTTTACATTAAAAATATCTAAAAATAAAATTATTTGTAAGATAGCACAATTTAACATTGCTACAGCAACCTAATGGTCAGCAAAAGTGATACAATCATATAATACATTTATGTCCACCATCATTTCACATGCATTACAAAATGAGTGAATATGCCTTCGATTTTTGTAATTGTATCTGCATTGCAGATGGTAAGAAACTTGAACTTCTGGAGGAAACGTTAGAAAGAAAACTTCACCATAATAATAAAATAATAACTTCTTACAAAATTAAGTAAACTATGGTCACTTTGGGCTGGAAATGGTGAGTACATTGAAACATAGATCAGAAAAAATACACTTCCATCTTCAAAGATTTACAAGCAAAAGGTTCAATGGTCTCACACTCTTCCCCCTCTACCTCTTTCTTTTCTATTTATTCCCCCCAGAACTGAAGAGAATAAAACCTTCTCAGTCCAGTACCCACAGAGCTACATTGACAAAAAGAGAATGCAGCACAAAAAAGAACAGAYTTGCTGAGTGAAAGCTGCCTCTGTCATATGGATTTCAAGTGCTTACTTCAGATCAGCTTTAATTCTGTCCTAGGGAGTCCACAGTTCTTGGAACATGTTTGATGTGCTCCTAGGGCCTATCTTCCTGCCCAGATGAGCCCAAAAGGAATCCAGCTTGCATGCTCTGGGACAGCTACGCAACAAGAATCAGAGGGGGTGATCAGAAGATTCAGTTCACAAGGGCATTTTTAATCCAGTCTAAAAGTTTTATGTACACACACTGCAGGTGCATTGCATCAAACTTATTGATTCCAGTTGTTTTCTGATGACCTGTTCTAATGCAGCAGCATGCAAAGTCCTGCATACTTTCTAACGTTATTCTATCAAAGCTTCCAATTTCAATTACTATCCTGAAGATTCCATATTGTTTATTTTCCACATACTTCTCCATTTGCCTCCACTGACCAAGAAGATACAAATCACAAACCCAACTTCATACACTTTTCACATAGTTTAAAGTAGCAGAGGCAATGGATGCAAAGCTCAATTTTCTAAAACCTTACCATTTGAAGGAATAAAACTATCAGTTTACTATCTTCCAGTTTAAACCCACTGAGAAGCACTGTACTGTGTCCAGTGCCAGATTCTACCCCCAGGGATAAAACTTARTTATTACATTATCTCATTTGTAGCAACTAACTCTTCTCTTGGACCACATAAGAAAAAACCACAATCAGTTGGTTTAATTAATGAAGTCAAAACCCAGGTTAAGTAAAATTCTCTTCAGAAAAAACAGCAAAACCACTGAGCATCAATCACATCTACTTCATCCTTTTGACTAAAATATAGTAATTCTCATGATGCTGTATTTTATTCATCTGCAGTAACTGCACTAGTACTTTTGAGTTTCAAAGACACTGACATAATCTCTTGGACAAGMGAAAACCATGTTTTATTTCTGTTTCTTTAGTACTAGAAGATTTTATTAGATAAGTAACATTTCAACATTTGACAGGTATTCATTTTAGTACATATTATGGAATTAAACAAACCGTCCAACCATCCTTTGAAAGAAATGCATTTAGAAGACTAATCTTTCTCCTAAGGAACTTGCAGAGGGAACTAATTTTTTTAAAAGGCACTTATATGGCAGGTACATGATCWGACTTTCAGCAAATGCAGAACCATGATGCCCATGAAGGAGAAAGGAATGATGTTTTTAAAGGAGAAGAGAGGCAGAGGAGAAATTATTCACTAAGCTTCTGTGGCTGGCTTCATACTCAAGTTTTGCAAGCCTGTTTCACATATCASCTTAGCAAGATGGAGTTTATGTATATTAACTACCAAGTCCAGAATAATTTCATGTTTTACTTCAGCAATTAAAAGTGTTGTATTTTAATTTAATTCAAGGAGCAGGTGTAAACAGGATTTCATGTGAGATGGAAAATCAGTTCAGCAACAAACATTTTCCCATATCTACAGATTTTTATTTTCTCATATATCTAGGYTCTTTTCAACAGTATTGTTTAACATGAAAATTAACTGTTGTTACCAGACCTCCTTTTCATTTACCAGAAAAATTATTCATGTTGCTGAACCCAAACAGCTTGTAGTGTTGCACTTGTTGACTTAAAACAAGCACAATAAGCTTCTGATTACAATTTTCTTTGACACAGGCCAAAGTTAGTAAGTCAGGCAGCTTCACTGTGAGGTTTTTTTCCAAGTATCTTTTTATAGCTGCAAAGTCTGATCAAGATACAGAACTTCGTGGATTATGTATGAGCAGACACTTTATCACCCAAACTGCATAGTCATTGATTACTGTTCAGTCAGCTGATAGGGAGTTCGAGCTCATGGGAGGCTGGGTGGGGAGGGAGGTTTAGTGTMACTACTTTGTAATTCAGGAGAACAGCACTACAAACAGGTTGGTTCCTCACCATTAGTATTTTCCTGGCTTACTCAAAATTACTGTCTTAACCATTTGGTTAGACAGCAACTACAAATGATCAGAACTTCACTCTTGCAGCTTTTCAATATAGTCTTTAGGTAAAAAAAAAAAATCACCAAACACTTGAAATTAACATTTTTCAGCAAAAATATGCCTGGTGTGATTTCAAATTACTCTATTGACCCAGTGACTTTTGAAACCCAGTTTAATAACACAGGTTTTTTCATCCATATTCCATAGGAACTAAAAATATATTGGTTTTCATCTATTAACATGCAGTGGTTTTCCAGAAAAGCTGTTTCTACTTGAAATTTAGAAGAAAAAASTCATCAATATTAAGACTCAACATCCATTCACCCCCAATATAAAAAACCWCTTCAAACTCATTATAGAAACAAGTCAGCACTTAATGAAAGARGATAAAGGAGCAGAAGAGTTATCAAGTGTTGTACCACCAAAAGCATTCAGCATTTACATTCTCCTCATCTTACCGTTTCCACATCAATTTTTCACACCACAAAAATAAGGAACGTAACAGTATAATCACAAGACAAGGTAAGGAGGTGCAGTGGAAGGTTTAAGGCGCACAGCCCTCACTTCGAGACTGCATTTCAAGATGAGTTGGATCAATTTCCAAATAAGATTATACCGTAAAGCTGCTAGTGATACCAGGACATCGCGTGAAGAACTGTGCTCTCCTGATCCGCTTAAAACTGAAAGCCAAATCCAATAGCTGTAAAACTTGTCACACCAATCTGCAGAGAGCAACATTGGACTATTGACTGTTTGCACATTTTATAATAAGCCCAGTAATAAAACATCTGCAGTGCTGGAGCTTTGCCGTACTCTTGTTCTGAATGGTAGTTCCTAGTATCATTTGATACCTTACTTAGCTCAGTAAGCAGCGTTAAGGAGAAACACAACAAAATTCAAGCTACTCACACTTAAGCCATTCCCATTTCTATTTAAGGCTATTCACACCCAAAACTCCACTCAGCTTTCTGCTCTTAGAGCAACCCGCAGATAAGGCAGGCTTTTCATAAAGACAGGGTACCCAGGGTGAGGAGACCGCTGCGACAGCATTTACCGAATTTCCTCAAACCCCGCAAGCAGAGCCGCGAAGCCCCCGAGAGGGARCCCGCCCAGAGTCGGGGGGCGCAGAGGACCCCCAGGCTGCCCCCGAGGGGCGCTGCTCCGAGCCGGGCATTACCTCTCGGTGCCGGTCACCCGCCGTTCGCACGGCCCCGAGCGGCCACCGGGCGGGCGCGGAGGCGGCGCCGGGAGCGCGGAGGCAGCGCGCACCCGCGGGGCTCGCTCCGACCGCGGCCGAGCGCTGCCGCGGCAGCTGAAGGAGGCGGCCCCGCGCACCCCGCGCTGTCAGCGCGCCCCGCGTTGCCGGCTGCGGCTGGCGGCCCTCGGCCCCGGGGACGGCCCCGCGCCGGGGGAGGGAAGGGGCCGCTCCGCGCAGCCACGCGGGGCGGGGGAAAGGGGCCGCGCCGCACCGCCCCCGCCCCGCCAGCCTCGGCTCTCGACGCCCCACCGCACTCCTTCCCCGCCCGCCGCACCTGGGAGAGGGGCTACGGGGGCTGCGGCGCCGCCTCCTCTTCCTCCATGCCTTCCCCGCGGCGTCGGGGACGGGACAGCCCTTCCCGGGCGCAGGATGCTCCGGCGGGGATCGGGTTACGGCAGCCGTAGCCTTAAAGGGGCCGAGCCGCCGCCGCCACCTGCCGCCGGGCTCCGCTCGCCGCCTCCGAGGGGACGCGGCTTCCCCGGACCCTCCCTCCCGCCCGCCCCGCGCTGGCGGCCACCGCCCCCTCTCCGCAGCCGCCCCCGCCAAGGGCCGCGCTGAGCGGGGCTCGACAGCCCACGGGAACGGCCCGGGACTGTCCGCAGCTCCTCAGCGCGGCCCGAGCGCAGCCGCGGTCACAGCGCACGGACAGGACCGCCCCGGCSGCCAACGGGCCCCGCCGGCCACCCCGGCTGCCACCGCGGCCCCTGCGAGCTGCCACCGTGCGCTCACGGGCCCTGAACCCTGCCGAGTGTACACGGCTGGGAACGGGCTTTGTGGTGGGGCAGGAAAAAGGCCAGTTAGGCATAGCAGCTCACCCTCCAACAACATTTTAGTCGCTGTGTCTTTCGCTTACTTACATAGCCCGGTTGGCTGAACCATGTCACGGGGAAAATGCTGATGTGGCCGTTCGTGCCCCAGGATTCCATGTATGCACTCCCTGGGAGCTCTGTACAGTACAGTCATGGGGAACACACCCATCATACAGAGAACAGGTATTGCCGATACTTGCTATATTCTAAATGCTGTGAGTTATGACAAATTATTCTTTTATTTTACATTTTTGAGCTGTTGTGTTGAAAAACAGAAGCAAAATGAGGTTGGCAAAATTAAATATGATAGACTTAGTCTTTTACCAACTAGAAAATGTAATGGTCATGACTGTTCCTCTTGGCACTCTTCTGCTGTCATCCACATCCTAAACCACCTCAGCTTTACATTTCCATTTAAAATTTCTGATCTTTCAGATCCATAAATTAAAAATTCTCCTCTAACAAAGTAACACTGAAGGTTTAATACATATCTTACCCTACAAATTAAGCTGCGGCTGACAAGCCGTCTACCCCATTATGTACACGGATCTCTCTTGCAAGACATCTCCCACAGCAGGAATGCTCTGGCTTAAGTCTGAACAGAAACTGATGTTGGCTTGGCGTAACGCGCCGATCTGCAAAATGCTGAAACCCAGATGCTGATTAATGAGGCATTGAGCCATTCCTGCTGCAGAAGAGGGAACCTGTGGGAGGTGGGCAGGGCACACCGCCAGCATCTCTAACTGTTTCCAGCCAGCTTGGCTTAATCCATTGCTGGACATGGACCAACTACCAGGTAAATGTTTGCATAAACATCAGAACTACTGAAGTTTGAATTCCTGTGGACTTGTGTCTTATGACACACCAGCCTGTGAATTGGTTTTTGTTAACAAAATTTCACAAGATGTGAAAGACAAGTGAAGGAGATCCCGTTCCTGCTTCCAATCCTCCATTTCAAAAACTGATGGACAAATAAAGACAGCAATATCATATCAACACAATCTCYAGTGAAATTAAAAGCTCATGTTTTACTCTGATGTAATTTTATTCCTGATTCAAATGAGTATTTCAACCTATTTTCTACTACATCTGCAGTTTTTAGTAAATCAGAACATCTACTAAAACCAAAGAACTCCATGGTAGGATCATAAACCACTTTCAAAATGACATAAACCATAAAAATTCCAAAATATGTTTTTTCTTCATTAATTCACCTTCCAAAGAACCCTYACTTTCTGCTTAATACAGTATCAGTGACTTTGAAGTTGCTTTATACATAGTCCTTGCTCTTTTAAGTTGTAACAGCTGTGACACCAGCACTCCATATGGACAAGCAGTGGAGTTCTGGGGTGACAGAGGACCTGCAGTGGCAGTAAAGGCATGAGTGGTACTTCAGGCCTGCAGGCACTGGCAAGGGCTCTTTCCACTCATGGTTAAGAAGCAAATGCCAAAGGCCCTGAACAACAAGCTCTGGCGATTGAGCTGCCGTGTTTTAAGATGTTATTTCTCTCAGCTGCCTGAGGTCACAATCATTCTGGGAGAGTACAACAATGAAAATAGGTGACTTTTAACATGCTAGCCTGTGGCTTGCAGTCTCCACAATAAGAGTGTRGTAAAATCTAACAGCAGAGTAAAACAGACACTTTAGAGTGGTAATGTCTTAAGCTGAACAGGTAACTCTGCCAGAGACCTCTTATCAGAACTCTAAGCCTCAAAACAACCCATCACCATTATGCACTTACGGGTTAGGAAGCATCTCGAAGGAGACAAACCAGACTCTCCCCAGTTCTCTGCATCAGGCCTGTGTAGCACACAGCCTACCAAACAATTCCTTTGGCCCGGTGTGCTGCGTGGGTGAAAGAAACGAGTCTGACCTGCCTCGCTGCTCTCTCCTTGGCCTGTGATCAGCACGTTGTTGAGCACGAAGCAGATCATGACCAGAGGCAATGCCCTCTTTCAACAGCCCAACAACACGTGCTGGGTTGAGAGGCGCAGACAGTAAAGCTGAAAATGGTGATGCATTGAGGATTCCTGACTGGCAACTGCTCTCCACATGAGCATGTAGCAGGGTACCCCTCAMACTTTTGATAAAGAAAATTTGCAGATAAAAGAGAACTTGCTATGGGAGCATGAAGGCATTGCAGTAGAAGGGAGAGCTGGTTAGATATGGCTACCATATCTAGGTTGCCTTAGATTGGTTGTCTGTCCTCTTTTCCAGCCAGAATTGTTCTCCAGGGAGATTTTGAGAACTGTGTATGTCTGGCATTTTTGGTATCTAAGAATCCCATGTTATTGCACGCATGCAGCAGACTTACCTCAGATGTCCCATGTCCAGCAACCCCAGAGACCCTCAGAGCAAACACCATAGGCCCATACTGCATAGGCAATGTAATGCCCACAAAACTAAGGGAGTGCTCTACCACTCCTACAAAGTGTTGCATGAACATAGCATACAATTACTTTGAGCATTTCCAGCAAGTCCTGAAAGTATAAGGCTTACTGTACCTGCATGATGCAACTGGTGCACCTTTTTGTGCATCAGAAATAAGAGTAGCCAAAGGGTGAGATAGTGAGCCACCAGAGCAGTWCCACAGCCACAGGCTGCTACACGGTGACCAGTTTGGCTTTCMCAAGTGATCCACCTCTTCCTCCCTCCCGTGTGGTGTGCAGCCACCACCCCCCAGCTGCTGCAAACCAAAGTCACCACTGCTGAAGGGCAGCAGTCAAAGACTTTCCTTGGTAACAAYTGCAACTTCTGAAGTCAGGCTTCAGAGCAGAAGGGAAGTACAGGCAATGGGCTTGCTAAKGTAAACTGCAGAACAGAGATCTAGCAACACAAGGGAAAAAATAATATTATATTCCGTATCAACACATATGCTGAAAGACCATAGGAAAGGCAGGGAGGATCAGAGGTATCACAGTAGCATTTGCAGGTAGCAGCATAATTCTGTTGGCTTCAGCTGAATCATCTTATTTACACTATGGAATAGAAAAATAGGGCTCTGCTTTTCATCTATGCTATAACTACAATTAAGCTTGGTTATATTGATGATTTTCAGCTTCATGTCAAGTAGACCCATTAATTCAAAAAATGAAGAACAAATTTGGATAAAATGGAGGAGATTTGTTCCAACAGGGTGAGAAGGCAGCCCAACATAAGTCAAAGTCTGCAGTAATCTCCCTCAGCTAAGTTTATACACCTGTTCCGTACCCTTCTCCTTCTGGAATTACTTTCAGAGTGGCACTTCAGGTATGGTAAAAATTTGTTGTCAGATGACTGCTCCCACTAAAATCTGCAGGAGGGATATGACCATGAAAAAAAAAAATACACAGTAACCTTTCCAAAGTATGCCTGTAATTTCAGAATCATGCTTTCCCAGAGCTGAGYCTCCTTCTGCCAAGAATGAACCCTTTATCGTGATTACTGTACTGAAAAGTGAGAGATAGGCRAGAAAGAATACTTTTAGAGCATTTGAAAATTGTTTCAGTTGTGGTTTTAAACTTATACAAGATGTAACTAATCTTTCTGTCTGAATTTACCCATTGTAGTGAGACTAGATCTTAATGAATGTTTAAAGCCTGAGCAGTTTATGAAAGAAATTATATAACACTGTGTTGTAGAAGCAGTGGATTGAGTTCAGTGACCTAAAAAAATGCCTACATTTATTTCTGTCTTAGGAAGTTCCTAAGTCTACCTGTCAACAGCAGGAGATATTCCCAGAAAATCAATTATACATGTAAGCAAAAATATAATGGAGATTAAAGAACATATGAAAGAGCAAGCACAACCCTTCTTTCACAAAACTGTGAATCAAGAGTAACTCCACTGAAGCCAATGAATTACAGTGGTGTGAGGGAGAAAAGAACCAGCTCCATTGTCAGAAAATAACTCAGGCCACCCATGGAGTCCAATCACAGGAACTGCAGGCAGCTAATATTGCAGCATTTAATTCAGAAAGCCCAAGACTGAAAAGAGGAGACTGAAAAGAAAGGATCTGAATTTGGTTTTAGTAAAAAAAAAAAAAAAAAAAAAAAAAAAAAAAAAAAAAAAAAAAAAAAAAAAAAAAAAAAAAAAAAAAAAAAAAAAAAAAAAAAGCTGGAAAATAGCAGGAAAATGGTGAATGGAAAAGAAAAAAACAAAATACTCAATTTCTAAAAAATCCTCCCTCTCAAAAAAAAATTGCATAGACAAAAGAACAAATCTGTGTGCTTTGTGGTTTTTTTTTCACACCCTGCAGGTACCCAGTGAACAGTTGCTGAGCTGTATGCTTCCCTGAAGGGAAGGTGTTATCTTGGCTTTCCAAACAGCAGAGGCATGCTGTGAGCTGGTGCACATGTACTACACCTCCTCAGACCGAGAGCCACAGAACATGTGYCACACCTTTCCAGCACAAGTCACTCTAACAGATCCTACCCCATTTTTAGGTAGTAATGTACCTTTCTTTCACTGCTTTAGGTTACTGCCTCTAAACACCASTCCGTTTTTCATCTGAGGTCAGTGAGTTTAGCTTCCCCAGCTCCTGTCACCTCCCACTTGAGAGAACATTTCTGCCAGTAGTACTTACTGTCCATAAGAGAACAAAGGCTTGTTTCAGGAAAGCTGTCTATTCACGAACCTCTTCCTGTCCCTTCTTCCGTTTTCTTCAGTTTTTCTGTCTTCTCC